TCTGTCACAAACACACGCATACAGTGACAGACAACAGATGAATCTGTCACAGACACACGCATACAGTGACAGACAACAGATGGATCGGTCACAGACACACACATACAGTGACAGACGACAGATAAATCGGTCACATACACACACATACAGTGACCGACAACAGATCAACAGGTGACATACACACGCATACAGTGACCGAAAACAGATAAACAGGTCACACAAAACAGTTGAACAAGTCACAGACTGTCACAGTATTGAAACAATCACTATTGTTGAACTGAGTCTATCACACAACGTCCTCCAGCTGGGTTAGACATCTTCCCACAACTGGTGGTACTGCATTAAGAAGGCGGGCGGGCATCTTGAAGAAGTGGAATGATTGATGAACTGCAGCAGGCATGTGAGCGGAGGCACACACAGAAAATAGACATGTCATTAGAGAACATTTTCTTCAAATGTTGCCGGTAAACGTCCTCCATCCACGTGCCTGCGATCGCTGTAGGGCCAACAATGAACGTTTAACTTTGTCTCTCCAATCGATCCGCGCCCGGCAATTTGCCAGGTAAATCTTCCTGACTGCAGTCGTTTCCAATGTTTAGTTAAACGTTAGAGCTAAAACGCCTGTAGTTGCCGATCTTCAGATGAAACAAATTGCGGGAAATCGCACCGGCAGCCATCAGCGTCGTTTACCGCTGTGTTTTCCCGTAATGAGGGACAATTTCTTCTAGTCGACGACATTACTTTGGTCGATTTGTGCCAACCTTGCCTTCAGAAGTCAGTCGTCTCTAGGACAAAGGTCGACCGAGTCTAGTCTGTAATCAAGCTCTTCAGGTGTGCTTGTCTCATGTCCTAGGTAATTCACCACAAATTGTTGCCTGAACTTTATTCAACGCTCCACTGACATTTTCTCTGCCTGCCGTTTCATAGTCACATGAACTTTCTTCCCTTGCCTAGAATCTCACTTTTTGCATTGGAAACTGGAGTTGTGGATTTCTTGACGTAACAGCCTCTGTCATGTGTATCTTGTAGCCTCTGTCATGTGTATCTTGTAGCCTCTGTCATGTGTATTTTGTAGCCGCTGTCATGTGTATCTTGTAGCCTCTGTCATGTGTATCTTGTAGCCGCTGTCATGTGTATCTTATAGCCTCTGTCATGTGTATCTTGTAGCCTCTGTCATGTGTATCTTGTAGACTCTGTCATGTGTATTTTGTAGCCGCTGTCATGTGTATCTTGTAGCCTCTGTCATGTGTATCTTGTAGCCTCTGTCATGTGTATCTTGTAGCCTCTGTCATGTGTATCTTGTAGCCTCTGTCATGTGTATCTTGTAGCCTCTGTCATGTGTATCTTGTAGCCTCTGTCATGTGTATCTTATGATGTTACTGGTTATTTTCCACAATAGGATCATCACTGACATCACTGTCTAGGGATGCGTTGTCAGTCAGAAATCAGCCCCCGCCGACCCCATTTTTGCTCTCCTTTACTTGGACCGATGTTTCATGTGTGAAATCTCCTAATGTCAGCGATCTGTCTGTCTGTCTGTCTGTCTGTCTGTCTGTCTGTCTGTCTGTCTGTCTGTCTGTCTGTCTGTCTGTCTGTCTGTCTGTCTGTCATGAGAGGGTAGTTATATTCAGCAGAAATAAGAACAAGTAAATAAATTAAAATGGAAAAATTTAAATCCAACAATATGAGAGACACCGTGTCATCGGTGTCTTATCTCCTCTCTCCTGTGACACCATGTCTTATCTCCTCTCTCCTGTGACACCATGTCTTATCTCCTCTCTCCTGTGACACCATGTCTTATCTCCTCTCTCCTGTGACACCATGTCTTATCTCCTCTCTCCTGTGACACCATGTCTTATCTCTTCTCTCCTGTGACACCATGTCGTATCTCCTCTCTCCTGTGACACCATGTCGTATCTCCTCTCTCCTGTGACACCATGTCGTATCTCCTCTCTCCTGGGACACAATGTCTTATCTCCTCTCTCCTGTGACACCATGTCTTATCTCCTCTCTCCTGTGACGCCATGTCTTATCTCATCTCTCCTGTGACACCATGTCTTATCTCCTCTCTCCTGTGACGCCATGTCTTATCTCCTCTCTCCTGTGACGCCATGTCGTATCTCGTCTCTCCTGTGACACCATGTCTTATCTCCTCTCTCCTGTGACGCCATGTCTTATCTCCTCTGTCCTGTGACACCATGTCTTATCTCCTCTCTCCTGTGACGCCATGTCTTATCTCCTCTGTCCTGTGACACAATGTCTTATCTCCTCTGTCCTGTGACACCATGTCTTATCTCCTCTCTCCTGTGACACCATGTCGTATCTCCTCTCTCCTGTGACACCATGTCGTATCTCCTCTGTCCTGTGACACCATGTTGTATCTCCTCTCTCCTGTGACACCATGTCGTATCTCCTGTCTCCTGTGACACCATGTCGTATCTCCTCTCTCCTGTGACACCATGTCGTATCTCCTCTCTCCTGTGACACCATGTCGTATCTCCTCTCTCCTGTGACACCATGTCGTATCTCCTCTCTCCTGTGACGCCATGTCTTATCTCCTCTCTCCTGTGACACCATGTCTTATCTCCTCTCTCCTGTGACTCCATGTCTTATCTCCTCTCTCCTGTGACACCATGTCTTATCTCCTCTCTCCTGTGACACCATGTCTTATCTCCTCTCTCCTGTGACACCATGTCGTATCTCCTCTCTCCTGTGACACCATGTCGTATCTCCTCTCTCCTGTGACACCATGTCGTATCTCCTCTCTCCTGTGACTCCATGTCTTATCTCCTCTCTCCTGTGACACCATGTCGTATCTCCTCTCTCCTGTGACACCATGTCGTATCTCCTGTCTCCTGTGACACCATGTCGTATCTCCTCTCTCCTGTGACACCATGTCTTATCTCCTCTCTCCTGTGACACCATGTCGTATCTCCTCTCTCCTGTGACACCATGTCGTATCTCCTCTCTCCTGTGACACCATGTCTTATCTCCTCTCTCCTGTGACACCATGTCTTATCTCCTCTCTCCTGTGACACCATGTCGTATCTCCTCTCTCCTGTGACACCATGTCGTATCTCCTGTGCTAAACTCACTTTGCTGTCCAACTGTACTAGAGGTCAGAGGCGTGATCGCCTACGCTAACTGATGATGATGATGACAGAGATGAGTGCAAAAGGTCCACGCTACTTGGTGCTTGAGATTCACTATTAACAGCGGTAACCAAGGGTAGTGTGAGACCCAGGCGTGGTCAGTTGCTGAGTTGAATGTTAACCTGTGTCCAGTCAGTGCCTTTTGGTCAGTCTTAGTGTGAGGACGTGTTTGTGCATGAGTTGTTTCAGTCCGGTGTGTTTTAACAATGTTTTATTATGTGGATTTCTCATGAACCGTGTTAGATGATCGTGGTCTATCGTAATGTGGACTTTTGGGAATTCTGTCAGAAATATCTAGAATGGACTTTATGTCGGTCATGTGATGTGGGATCCACAGTGTTGCGGTCATGTGATGTGGGATCCATAGAGTTGCGGTTATGTGATGTGGGATCCATAGAGTTGCGGTTATGTGATGTGGGATCCACAGAGTTGCGGTTATGGTGAAAGTGGTTGGCGGCTTTCTGTCAGGACACGGGAGGCACCTTGTGTGTTAATCAACGTGTAGTTGTGATGGAGAAAGCATCGGATGCTGATTGACGGGATTGTAGTCAGCGATGCTTCAGAACAGGTCTCATCAGTGTTTCTGCACGGTCTTGTGTGAGTTGCACATAGCAGGCAGCAGTGACATAGTTGGCTAGTGTGTTTTATCCATCTCTAGAGGGACTGCGGATGTGAATATTTGGGAAAGCAGTAGAATACTTGACAGTGTCCCATCGATCACCATTTATCCCTGTCGTAACATGTTTCGTCCACAATAAAGAGACTGATGCCCTATCACAGAAATAAATGTTAGTCTATTGGAGTTCACCTCGTGATTCATGCTCTATCTGTGAGCAGCCGTGATGTAGCGATCTCATGTTCTACTATCTGTGAGCAGCCGTGATGTAGCGATCTCATGTTCTACTATCTGTGAGCAGCCGTGATGTAGCGATCTCATGTTCTACTATCTGTGAGCAGCCGTGATGTAGCGATCTCATGCTCTACTGTCTGTGAGCAGCCGTGATGTAGCGATCTCATGCTCTATCTGTGAGCAGCCGTGATGTAGCGATCTCATGTTCTACTGTCTCTGAGCAGCCGTGATGTAGCGATCTCATGCTCTACTATCTGTGAGCAGCCCTGATGTAGAGATCTCATGCTCTACTATCTGTGAGCAGCCCTGATGTAGCGATCTCATGCTCTACTATCTGTGAGCAGCCGTGGTGTAGCGATCTCATGCTCTACTATCTGTGAGCAGCCCTGATGTAGAGATCTCATGCTCTACTATCTGTGAGCAGCCGTGATGTAGAGATCTCATGCTCTACTATCTGTGAGCAGCCCTGATGTAGAGATCTCATGCTCAACTATCTGTGAGCAGCCCTGATGTAGCGATCTCATGCTCTACTATTTGTGAGCAGCCGTGATGTAGCGATCTCTGCTCTACTATCTGTGAGCAGCCGTGATGTAGCGATCTCTGCTCTACTATCTGTGAGCAGCCGTGATGTAGCGATCTCATGCTCTACTATTTGTGAGCAGCCGTGATGCAGAGATCTCATGCTCTACTATCTGTGAGCAGCCGTGATGTAGCGATCTCATGTTCTACTATCTGTGAGCAGCCGTGATGCAGAGATCCCATGTTTTACTATCTGTGAGCAGCCGTGATGCAGAGATCTCATGCTCTACTATCTGTGAGCAGCCGTGATGCAGAGATCTCATGTTCTAGTATCTGTGAGCAGCCTTGATGCAGAGATCTCATGTTCTACTATCTGTGAGCAGCCGTGATGCAGAGATCTCATGTTCTACTATCTGTGAGCAGCCGTGATGCAGAGATCTCATGTTCTACTATCTGTGAGCAGCCGTGATGTAGCGATTTCATGTTCTACTATCTGTGAGCAGCCGTGGTGTAGAGATCTCAGCTCTACTATCTGTGAGCAGCCGTGATGTAGAGATCTCTGCTCTACTATCTGTGAGCAGCCGTGATGTAGAGATCTCTGCTCTACTATCTGTGAGCAGCCGTGATGTAGAGATCTCTGCTCTACTATCTGTGAGCAGCCGTGATGTAGAGATCTCTGCTCTACTATCTGTGAGCAGCCGTGATGTAGAGATCTCTGCTCTACTATCTGTGAGCAGCCGTGATGTAGCGATTTCATGTTCTACTATCTGTGAGCAGCCGTGGTGTAGAGATCTCATGTTCTACTGTCTGTGAGCAGCCGTGGTGTAGAGATCTCATGCTCTACTGTCTGTGAGCAGCCGTGATGCAGAGATCTCATGTTCTACTATCTGTGAGCAGCCGTGATGCAGAGATTTCATGTTCTACTATCTGTGAGCTGCCGTGGTGTAGCGATCTCATGTTCTACTATCTGCGAGCAGCCGTGATGTAGAGATCTCTGCTCTACTATCTGTGAGCAGCCGTGATGTAGAGATCTCTGCTCTACTATCTGTGAGCAGCCGTGGTGTAGAGATCTCATGCTCTACTATCTGTGAGCAGCCGTGATGTAGAGATCTCATGCTCTACTGTCTGTGAGCTGCCGTGATGTAGCGATCTCATGTTCTACTATCTGTGAGCAGCCCTGATGTAGCGATCTCTGCTCTACTATCTGTGAGCAGCCGTGATGTAGCGATCTCATGTTCTACTATCTGTGAGCAGCCGTGATGTAGCGATCTCATGCTCTACTGTCTGTGAGCTGCCGTGATGTAGCGATCTCATGTTCTACTATCTGTGAGCAGCCCTGATGTAGCGATCTCTGCTCTACTATCTGTGAGCAGCCGTGATGTAGCGATCTCTGCTCTACTATCTGTGAGCTGCCGTGATGTAGCGATCTCATGTTCTACTATCTGTGAGCAGCCCTGATGTAGCGATCTCTGCTCTACTATCTGTGAGCAGCCGTGATGTAGCGATCTCATGCTCTACTATCTGTGAGCAGCCGTGATGTAGAGATCTCATGCTCTACTGTCTGTGAGCTGCCGTGATGTAGCGATCTCATGTTCTACTATCTGTGAGCAGCCCTGATGTAGCGATCTCTGCTCTACTATCTGTGAGCAGCCGTGATGTAGCGATCTCATGCTCTACTATCTGTGAGCAGCCGTGATGTAGCGATCTCATGCTCTACTATCTGTGAGCAGCCGTGATGTAGCGATCTCTGCTCTACTATCTGTGAGAAGCCGTGGTGTAGAGATCTTATGCTCTACTGTCTGTGAGCAGCCGTGGTGTAGAGATCTCATGCTCTACTATCTGTGAGCAGCCGTGGTGTAGAGGCTAGAGCTCTACTATCTGTGAGCTGCCGTGGTGTAGAGGCTAGAGCTCATCTATCTGTGAGCTGCCGTGGTGTAGAGGCTAGAGCTCTACTATCTGTGAGCTGCCGTGGTGTAGAGGCTAGAGCTCATCTATCTGTGAGCTGCCGTGGTGTAGAGGCTAGAGCTCATCTATCTGTGAGCTGCCGTGGTGTAGAGGCTAGAGCTCATCTATCTGTGAGCTGCCGTGGTGTAGAGGCTAGAGCTCTACTATCTGTGAGCAGCCGTGGTGTAGAGGCTAGAGCTCTACTATCTGTTAGCAGCCGTGGTGTAGAGGCTAGAGCTCATCTATCTGTGAGCAGCCGTGGTGTAGAGGCTAGAGCTCTACTATCTGTGAGCTGCCGTGGTGTAGAGGCTAGAGCTCATCTATCTGTGAGCTGCCGTAGTGTAGAGGCTAGAGCTCATCTATCTGTGAGCTGCCGTGGTGTAGAGGCTAGAGCTCATCTATCTGTGAGCTGCCGTGGTGTAGAGGCTAGAGCTCTACTATCTGTGAGCAGCCGTGGTGTAGAGGCTAGAGCTCTACTATCTGTTAGCAGCCGTGGTGTAGAGGCTAGAGCTCTACTATCTGTGAGCTGCCGTGGTGTAGAGGCTAGAGCTCGCCTGCCAATCGGAGAGTTCGGGTCCTCACAGAGTCGGACTGTTTTCAAAAATCATCTTGGCTCCCAGGTGGACCCAGCCTTGAGTGGCTCCCAGGTGGACCCAGTCTTGAGTGGCTCCCAGGTGGACCCAGCCTTGAGTGGCTCCTAGGTGGGCCCAGCCTTGAGTGGCTCCCAGGTGGGCCCAGCCTTGAGTGGCTTCCAGGTGGACCCAGCCTTGGGTGGCTCCCAGGTGGACCCAGCCTTGAGTGGCTCCCAGGTGGACCCAGCCTTGAGTGGCTCCCAGGTGGACCCAGCCTTGAGTGGCTCCCAGGTGGACCCAGCCTTGAGGTGCTCCCAGGTGGACCCAGCCTTGAGGGGGTTCCAGGTGGACCCAGCCTTGAGTGGCTCCCAGGTCTACCCAGCCTTGAGTGGGTCCTAGGTCGACCCAGCCTTGAGTGGGTACCACGTAATGTCATGGAAAGTAAAGGCGACCGATGGATTGCTGAACACATCACACACTAACTACCGACTGGTCTATCAGATAGAGGTCTAGCCATTAAATTAGCAAGTGATGGAGAAAGGCAAAAGTTCATAGCACTTCAAGAACAGTCAGACCAAATATACGACCTCGTGTGCCATCATGTTCGTCCCTGTGATAGGACTGTCTCCGCCAAGAACAGTCAGACCAAATATACGACCTCGTGTGCCATCATGTTCGTCCCTGTGATAGGACTGTCTCCGTCAAGAACAGTCAGACCAAATATACGACCTCGTGTGCCATCATGTTCGTCCCTGTGATAGGACTGTCTCCGTCAAGAACAGTCAGACCAAATATACGACCTCGTGTGCCATCATGTTCGTCCCTGTGATAGGACTGTCTCCGTCAAGAACAGTCAGACCAAATATACGACCTCGTGTGCCATCATGTTGCCATCATGTTCCCTGTGATAGGACTGTCTCCGTCAAGAACAGTCAGACCAAATATACGACCTCGTGTGCCATCATGTTCCTCCCTGTGATAGGACTGTCTCCGTCAAGAACAGTCAGACCAAATATACGACCTCGTGTGCCATCATGTTCCTCCCTGTGATAGGACTGTCTCCGTCAAGAACAGTCAGACCAAATATACGACCTCGTGTGCCATCATGTTCGTCCCTGTGATAGGACTGTCTCCTCCGTCAAGAACAGTCAGTCTTCAGACCAAATATACGACCTCGTGTGCCATCATGTTCTTCCCTGTGATAGGACTGTCTCCGTCAAAATATACCAAATATACGACCTCGTGTGCCATCATGTTTCCTCCCTGTGATAGGACTGTCTCCGTCAAGAACAGTCAGACCAAATATACGACCTCGTGTGCCATCATGTTCTTCCCTGTGATAGGACTGTCTCCGTCAAGAACAGTCAGACCAAATATACGACCTCGTGGGCCATCATGTTCCTCCCTGTGATAGGACTGTCTCCGTCAAGAACAGTCAGACCAAATATACGACCTCGTGTGCCATCATGTTCCTCCCTGTGATAGGACTGTCTCCGTCAAGAACAGTCAGACCAAATATACGACCTCGTGGGCCATCATGTTCGTCCCTGTGATAGGACTGTCTCCGTCAAGAACAGTCAGACCAAATATACGACCTCGTGTGCCATCATGTTCTTCCCTGTGATAGGACTGTCTCCGTCAAGAACAGTCAGACCAAATATACGACCTCGTAGGGGCCATCATGTTCCTCCCTGTGATAGGACTGTCTCCGTCAAGAACAGTCAGACCAAATATACGACCTCGTGGGCCATCATGTTCCTCCCTGTGATAGGTCCATGTTCCCTGTGATAGGACTGTCTCCGTCAAGAACAGTCAGACCAAATATACGACCTCGTGTGCCATCATGTTCCTCCCTGTGATAGGACTGTCTCAAGAACAGTCGTACGAAGAACAGTCAGACCAAATATACGACCTCGAGTGCCATCATGTTCCTCCCTGTGATAGGACTGTCTCCGTCAAGAACAGTCAGACCAAATATACGACCTCGAGTGCCATCATGTTCTCCCTGTCCGATAGGACTGTCTCCGTCAAGAACAGTCAGACCAAATAAACCTCGAGGGCCATCACTGTGATAGGACTGTCTCCGTCAAGAACAGTCAGACCAAATATACGATGAGTGCCATCATGTTCCTCCCTGTGATAGGACTGTCTCCGTCAAGAACAGTCAGACCAAAATATACGAAATGTTCCTCCCTGTGATACGACCTCCGTCAAGTGCCAAATATACGACCTGTTCCCCCCTGTGATAGGACTGTCTCCGTCAAGAACAGTCAGACCAAATATACGACCTCGCGGGCCATCATGTCCGTCCCTGTGATAGGACTGTCTCCGTCAAGAACAGTCAGACCAAATATACGACCTCGCGGGCCATCATGTTCCTCCCTGTGATAGGACTGTCTCCGTCAAGAACAGTCAGACCAAATATACGACCTCGAGGGCCATCATGTTCCTCCCTGTGATAGGACTGTCTCCGTCAAGAACAGTCAGACCAAATCAGACCAAATATACGACCTCGAGTGCCATCATGTTCCTCCCTGTGATAGGACTGTCTCCGTCAAGAACAGTCAGACCAAATATACGACCTCGAGTGCCATCATGTTCCTCCCTGTGATAGGACTGTCTCCGTCAAGAACAGTCAGACCAAATATACGACCTCGTGTGCCATCATGTTCCTCCCTGTGATAGGACTGTATCCGTCAAGAACAGTCAGACCAAATATACGACCTCGTGGGCCATCATGTTCCTCCCTGTGATAGGACTGTATCCGTCAAGAACAGTCAGACCAAATATACGACCTCGTGGGCCATCATGTTCCTCCCTGTGATAGGACTGTCTCCGTCAAGAACAGTCAGACCAAATATACGACCTCGTGTGCCATCATGTTCCTCCCTGTGATAGGACTGTCTCCGTCAAGAACAGTCAGACCAAATATACGACCTCGCGGGCCATCATGTTCCTCCCTGTGATAGGACTGTCTCCGTCAAGAACAGTCAGACCAAATATACGACCTCGCGGGCCATCATGTTCCTCCCTGTGATAGGACTGTCTCCGTCAAGAACAGTCAGACCAAATATACGACCTCGTGTGCCATCATGTTCCTCCCTGTGATAGGACTGTCTCCGTCAAGAACAGTCAGACCAAATATACGACCTCGAGTGCCATCATGTTCCTCCCTGTGATAGGACTGTATCCGTCAAGAACAGTCAGACCAAATATACGACCTCGTGGGCCATCATGTTCCCCCCTGTGATAGGACTGTATCCGTCAAGAACAGTCAGACC